TTCATACTCCTGACCAATACAGCTATGCTAGTAGAAGCCTGTAATGTAGACACAGCCTGTATTTTTATGAATATGTGGGAACCTCTATTTGATTATGAGTGTGTGACTTCTATAAAGAAGCCTAAGGGAACTCAGTTCTATGGGGCTCTGTAAGACCACAGGAAGGCAGATAATGAAGGTGAATTAAGCCCAATCTCCAATACTTGATAAGAAAGATAACCATCAGTACCAATCGAACTGGCGGATACTTCTTGTAGTCTTCCTCATCTATAGGGTCAGGAGGAAGTTCCAGTTGCTCTCTTGGACAAGAGAGGTGATGTGACACCCTATTAGATATCACAGTGCCCGGATATCATGCACAGGCATTTCATAGGCACCAACAGGAAGGTCAAAGCTGGGTTGTGGAGGTCCCCAAGGGCTGGGGCACCTCCAGTCCCAAGGAGAGTGTCCTGATTTGGGTAGGAGATGCTGGTTCCAGGAAACTCTTTACCTCCTGTCTGGACAGATCTCGCTTGATGGAAGCAAGGATGGTTCCTCCAGAATATCTGATTTTCCAATTATACGAAGTTCAAATCTCGCTCAATTGGTAGTGCCAATGGTTCTGTCAAAGTAAAGTCATGGCTAGTAGACGGGAAGGGGGTAGACTTCTCCCAGAGCCAGTGTCTCTTGGTGGAGTCAAAATCTCCCTGATGAGGGTCAGTCCTGACAACCAATGCAGATCCAGGAGAACAAAGACATTCACTGAAGTGGTGTATCTTTCCATTCTCCTTGGGTCACCCACAGTTTTGTCAGCCCATACAGACAGAGCTGAAGTAGGAAGGTTCTGAGTTGGCAGATCCATAAGGGAATGGGACGGTACCCCCAGTGGCTAAGGTTCCTGACGGATGCTCTTTGTTTGTACCAGCAGATCTGGACAGTACTGCTAGCAGTGGCACTGCCAGTGCAGAGTCCGGTAGCAGCGGAGCCTTGCTCCTATGCACCTTTCTATCATCGACATCCTAAGTCTTTGGAAGCTGGGCATGAAGACTTGACCGACTTGGAAGGGGTGAGGGAGGGATCTGTCCTCTTTGGAGTGGACTGAGAGGGGGATCTGCTCTTGTGCTTATGAGACTGTGCCCTGCTCTCCTGCAGAAATCCTGAGAGAGGGTCCACAGGTGTAATCTCCCACATTCCTGCATCAGGCTTCATGATAGGAAATGTGCTCTTTGATGACTCTGGATAATGTACAGCAGGGTTCATCCAGCCTGGGTCTGATTGAGGCCTCATAGCTTTCTCCATGAGGTGCTTTTTAAGACAAAATGCTTGCACCTATCAGGTACAGCTAAGAAAGGAGCAACAGATGCTGCACCTGGCGAAGATATGCACTTCCCCCAGGCAGTATAGGCAGTGCTCGTGGTCATCACTGATCAGGAAGGTACAGAGACAGAAGATGCAGCTTTTCAAGCTTGGTATACTGTGCATAATCTAATTCCCATACAGTAACTCCTCACTTAAAGTCGTCCCGGTTAACATTGTTTCATTGTTACGTTGCTGATCAATAGAGAACGTGCTCATTTAAAGTTGTGCAATGCTCCCTTATAACGTTGTTTGGCAGCCGCCTGCTTTGTCCACTGCTTGCAGAAAGAGCAGCCCATTGGAGCAAGCTGGTGGGGGCTTGGAACCAGGGTGGAGCGGCAGCCCCCCTATTAGCTCCCCGCTCCCCTAAGATCCCTGTGCAGCAGCCGCCCAGCAGGCTATCAATTGCGGGCAGTTCAACTGTCCCTCCCCCACTGCCATGTGCTTCTCCTGCCCTCTGCCTTGGAGCTGCTCCCAGGAGCCTCCTGCTTGCTGAGCAAGAAGAGGGGAAAAGGGGTGCTAATGTCAGGGTGTCCCCCTCCCCCCTGCTCCTGCCCCCCGCTTACATTTCCATAGTGCGGGGGGGACATGGGAGGGAGCTTTCTGGCAGCAGCGGCTGTCTCAACTTGCTGATCTACTTAAAAAGGCAATGTACTTAGAGTGGGGTCAGCATACTTAAAGGGGCAATGCGCATCTCTCTCTCTCTCTCACACACACATACACACACACACACACACACAGAGTGTGTGTCTCTGTCTGCTATGCTATCTCCCCTCCCTCCATTTGTGCTGCCTTGTAGAGTGTGAGGCTACATTAACAAAGTGTTAACCCTTGAGGGCTCAGCTGAGTGCTAGTTCATCATTTAGCAAGTAAGGCATTCCCTGGGAAATATCCCATCCTCTTCCACCCTCTGACTTCACCACCTCAACCAAGCTTCACAATTATCATTGCCGTGTACAGTATTAAATTGTTTAAAACTTAGTGTGTGTGTGTGTGTGTGTGTATGTATATATATATATATATATATATATATATATATATATAGTCTTTTGTCTGGTGAAAAAATTTCCCTGGAACCTAACCCCCCCCATTTACATTACTTCTTATGGGGAAATTGGATTAGCTTAACATCGTTTTGCTTAAAGTTGCATTTTTCAGGAACATACCTACAACGTTAAGCGAGGAGTTATGAGCCAGAGGGATCCCCAGGGTGGGGATTCTAACTATCCACTAGCTAAACTAATAGAACCATTAACACTAATTACACTAAAGATAAAACTGATAAACTTTGAAATATTTACAGGTTTGAAGACAAAGGAGAAGTTCTGTACACTAAAGTTTCCAATTCAGGCCATGCAGCAGTAAGAAGGAACTGAAGAGGTGGTTGGTCCACCCAGCACTACTCCATGGATCCTTGATGCAGAACACAAGCAGAGCAGGGGCACAGATACGGATCAACGGACACTGCTTTCAAAAGTTCTCAAGTCTCAGGTGCATGGAGCACATGTGTACCCATAGTGGAATGCATAGAGGGACCAGTTCTCAAAGGAGGCTAAGTTTACATAAGGCAATATGCTTTAAGCCTTAAAGTTTTTGTTATTTTTAACCTTTTCTGTTTGTGCTGCTCCTATGATAAATAAAGCAGACTGTTTTGAACAAGCTGATTTCTGTCATAACTTCTGGAGAAGATTCCATAGCAGGTGTCAAAAACAGATATGGTTGGTCAACATGGGGTACGGTAGACTGGTGATCCAGTCTAAAAGTGAGGTGAATCAGAGTTCCACTCAGAGAGGTGCACATATAAGTCTGCCAGTTGAAAGAAGTACCCAAAAAGAGAGATTACAGATGAAGTTCACCCCAAACCATAACATCCTCCTGAAGAGAATAATTTTGAAGTTTCTCTCCCTCTCTCGTTGAATATTAGCTGTACATTTTTAGAGCTGCAATAGTTATATGCACTGATTTATCAAGACAGTTCTTGTTCACAGTACCCATTGAAGTCACGTGTTCCTTTTTTATTGCTCATGATGTTATTTTGTATAATGTCAGACCATTCTCTACATGCCTAATAGATGGAATTTTAATTCTTAAAATTATAAATAAAATCAGAAAAGCAAGCCCACATGGATTCACTCCACACAGTTGCTTAAGTGAGCAGGACTTGTAGGAAGAACTTTGCCCATCTAGAAATGCTGATGAACCTCGGACACAAAGGAAGGAGAAGATCAGACAAAGGGAGGGGTGTCTCAGGACTTTTGTTGTCTTCAAAAATCTGTAGCTCTCAGAGTAAAGTCTCTGTGGCCAAGAAATTCCCTTACCAAGTCTGTGTTCCTTGCTTTCCTACCACATTGTCCCCAAAGGGACGAAATTAGAAGTCCAAAGTGCCCACAGCCTAGATGGAGACTGGAGGGGGTGTTCAGGAGATCTTTGGGGAGCAGTGCCCCATGTCCCAAGGAAGGACATTGGGCAAGAAGTCTGAGCCCAGGAGTGTGCTCTATGGCTAAAAACAGTGACAAGACTCTACCCTGACCTAGTTGGCTTGGAAGTGCATAGGATCCAGAGACTGGGTCCACTCACATCTCACTGGTGACCATGCAAAAAAGTACTAGGCCAGGTTGTAACACTTAGCACTGGTCATTTTAAATTCAGCCTCCGTGCCCTTTGGTGCTAAGAGCAGGGAGTTTATTTGGAGTAGGTGTGTAAGCGTGGAGGGAGAAATCACCTTTTATAGAATCATAGGACTGGAAGGGACCTTGCGAGGTCATCTAGTCCAGACTAAGTATTATCTCTAGACCATCCCTGACAGGTGTTTGTCTAACCTGCTCTTAAAAATCTCCAGTGATGGAGATTCCACAACCTCCCTAGGCAATTTATTCCAGTGCTTAATCACCCTGACAGTTAGGAAGTTTTTCCTAATGTCCAATCTAAACCTTCCTTGCTGTAATTTAAGCCCATTGCTTCTTGTCCTATCCACAGAGATTAAGAAAACCAATTTTTCTCCCTCCTCCTTGTAACAACCTTGTACATACTTGAAAACTGTTATGTCCCCCCTCAGTCTTCTCTTTTCCAGACTAAGCAAACCCATTTTTTTCCATCTTCCCCTATCTTCATTTCTTCATTCCCCAACTTATTTCATAACACTCAGGCAGAGTTTAGAGAGTATCATGTGCTAGACCTTGTATGTGAAGTAGAGAATTTTAAATGGAAAGTTATCAAATGTTATTGGTCTGGGCAATTTGCTTGGCCACCGTTACAGATTTCCCAGTTTCACCAGATACAGCAGATTCCCAGCTAGCCTTAGCTCGCCCCAGAGCACGCTTTCTGCACAATGACATCTTTTTATTGGTGGAAGCATAACAGTAAATCTCACTACTCCCTCAGGAAGGCTGAAAGCTCATTAATTACTCAATGAATAGGGATAGCTACTATTAGGCACTCAAATATTTCTTAAAATGCTATTTGCCACTTCCTGGCATATTCCACACACCGAGAGAGACCTCATACAGCCCACCCCTTTGCCTAAATTGTAGGAGAACCCACAGGTATGGTCTAGAAAGGGAAAATCCAGAAACCCATAATACACACACACTTGTCATTTTAAATCGTACTATTGTAGCAGATTAGCAATTGATGGGGTGGAGAGGACAAACAAAAAACCTACTCACCGTGCACACAGAGGCTTCATCCCCGATTTTCACTCTATTCACAGTCAGTAGCCGCTCCAGCAGGCTGATTCTGTTTAGGAGCCAGGAAAATGCCAGCAGCAACTCTCTGCTACCCTGTGAGCCATCGGAAGGGAGCTGATAGAATTCTGGCCTGCCATAGCCGTGGTACCGTAACACTGACTTTACAAACCTAATTTGGGCGCCTGGAAAGTAGAAAAGCAGGAAAATGTGTCACATTGCACTGCCCACCCTTTTCCAGGAATAGCTGCTTCCTGGAGAAAATTAACCAAATTTCGTGTCATACTAAGGGTAAGGGAGACTGATGTTCTCTGGTTAGGCATGAACAGATACAGTACAGGCAGCAAGAATGCAAGCTTCCCCTATGCTGCCCCACCCTGACCCGCAGGAACCACCTCTATAGAGGGGAATAGAAATTCAGTCTCCCTCTCAGAGACTAACAAGGCCAATTTGCAACTGGCTTGTGGTGGGTGCCTTTCCTACTAGCCACTGGGCTCAAACCCACCCCTGCTTTCATATGGGCCACCAAACACGCTACAAAATGGCAACTGTTTTAGGTCACTGTTGAACTGAGGTGGATCAAAACCTAGAAATGAAAGGTTCCACAGCCTACTACAAATCTCTGAGCACCAGTGAGCAAATAAGGCAATAGCATCATACATACAACAGGCACACCAGGCTGCAGAGACTGCATTTTGTGCTCAGCTATATTCTCTTCCGTGGTGAAGGAAAATGGATTTTATTTGACAATTGCAATGTGACCTGAAGAAGAGGTTTGCTTAGCTTGAAAGCTTGCCTCTTTCACCAATAGAAGTTGGTTCAATGAAAGATATTACCTCACTCACCTTGTCTCTCTCAATTACAGTGCAAATACTATGGATTGTAAAGCAAGTGTCACTTCACTAGGGGAGAAAGAGAAAAGGTTAAACCAGCGAATAAAGTTTCTTCCCTTCCCAAGTGAAGTGTTTCAATATCTCCAGGTTGTTTCACCACAAAGCATCAGTAAACCCAAACCCAGGGCCCCACGTAGTCAGTGCTTAACTTCCATGTCCTCTATCACATCTGTATATTCCTCATTTGCCTATTCCTTGTCACTAGCATGATAAACTTCTTGTCTGGTCACATGCACTGTGAGCTTTTTCCCCTGTATGCTGTTGACTAATGAAGCTCAAAATAACAATGCCTGACTTCCAAAGAAAAAGCACAAATGGAAAGAGAAACCTGTGACTCTAGAAAGGTTATTTGTTAATCTTAAAAAATAATTCCTTCAGAAAAAGTGTCTAACCACATCACTTGAGCTCTGAAGTGTTAAGGGAGTTTTGCATGCTAGAGGCAACCATACAAAGCTAAGACACAGCCACTGGAAGTCCTAAGCTTGAACGTACTCATTACACTCGAATAGCATTCATTACACTTCAGCAGCAGCACATCACTTAGCAATAGTCACTGGCAGGAGCTGGTAAATCTACACAGGCAGTAAGCCCATCCCATTTCGGCAATGGGAACATAAGTACACCTCTACCCCGATATAACGCGACCCGATATAATGTGGTAAAGCAGCGCTCCAGTGGGCGGGGCTGCGCGCTCCGGCGCATCACAGCAAGTTCGATATAACGCAGTTTCACCTATAATGCGGTAAGATTTTTTGGCTCCCGAGGACAGCGTTATATCGGGGTAGAGGTGTAAATACTTTGCTTCGACTGAGTGACCTGCCTCTGGCAAACTGAAGCAGTGTTGTTGGGAGCCACATCCAGCCTTCCTAGCCACAGAGGGGGTAGGATCCCCGAAGAACCCCTCACTCCACAATGCATCCAGAATGGGAGCACTCTTGAAGATGCAGCATGTATAACAGTTGTTCCTCAGCACAGGCTAGGAACAGTACCTAAGCACATGGGTGTGCTCCATGTGCAAATGCTGGATGGACATAGGCTCCTCACCATAAATACAGATCAGAAAACAAGACAGTGAGCATGACTGAGCAGGCACCACAACCTAGCCCAACACTACTGTCTTGTGGCAAGGACAGAACTCCTGACGGAGCACATTGCAGGGGCTTAATCTGTTTTAAATCTAGCAAATTTCTGTTCTACAGCCACAAGAAGGGGACCACTTGTCCCAGCAGCCCCTGGAATCACTCTCTCTGGATTGCAATAGATACATTATCGGATTGCTGCATTTTTGGCAGCGTGTGTGAATATGAACTTTAATGGCTTGTCCCATGCTTTGAGGGGGCCTGTCCATGTGTGCTTTTCAAATAAACTCATTGCAGGTTGTGTTCTGAACGCCCCCAAATAATCACAGGTAGAAGGGGCATTTTTTTCACTTCTTTAACTTCTTGAATGTCTTCCCATTCTATGGAACTCTCTAATCTCCCTCCTGACAAAGGAGCCAGGCTTCTGGGCCTAGGGGTTTACAACCCCTTTTACCACTGTGGATTCAGAACAGGAAAGTAAAGGCCAGCTCCTCAGATGATGTAAGTCAGCACAGTTCCACTCAAGTCAATTTAGACCAGCCAAGGATCTGGGGCCATGTGTTTGTACAGGACTTTAGCTCTTGCTCTCACTCTCTCTCGTATGTGGATCAAGTGGACAAGGTGGCAGGTGCAACGATGGACTCCTGAATTTACTTAGCATGTTAGACTCTCTTTCTCACCAATGCCTCCATTCTGTAAGAATGTAATTTTCAGCTCCTTGACCATCTATCCACAGTAAAGGGCCATTAGTGCTCTTGTCCCAATGTGTGTGAGCTGCCATTGCAAAGAAGCATTAAGAAATCAGCCATGGTGTCCCACTGAAATTTTCATAACTCTGAACAAAACATTATGGTTGTTCTTTCAAACGTTTACAACTGAACATTAATACAGCTTTGAAACTTTAGTATGCAAAAGAAAAATGCTGCTTTCCTTTTTTTTGGTAGTTTATGTTTAACACAGTACTGTACTGTATTTGCTTTTTTTTTTGGTCTCTGCTGCTGCCTGATTGCGTACTTCCGGCTCCAAATGAGGTGTGTGGTTGACTGGTCAGTTCATAACTCTGGTGTTCTACTGTATTTGGCTGGAGCAAACACTAGGGCGAGCACAGATGTACAAAGGACCAAAGACTCCCAATAGCTTTTGTATCAAGGCAGTACAGGAAGAGATCTTCATTTTCAGGTATTCCAGGTATATCAGCCTATGGTTGAGTTTTACTCCCAAGTATGTGACAACTGAATGGAATAGCAGTATCTGGCCTTGGACACAGATCAACATGGGTTGATTGGCAAGATGATTTTTAGACGGAAGTAGATGCCACTGTCTGGTTCATTGAGAATTTGACCACTCATTTCTATCAATGGCGACTAAGTATACATGTCGTGGATGAGATAGAATTCAATCCCATAGAAGTCAGTTCCAGTGTCAGCAATACAGATGTCATCAGGATTCACACACTTCTCGGCCTGAGTTTCAGAAAGATCACGTGTGTATATATTGAACAAAAAGGGAGCCAGCACTGACCTTTGTGGAAGACTATTGCAGAGACGTGTAAGGTGACTGATTTTATCCCCAACTCGCAGAATGAAGCTGCAATTACTGATCATTTCTTGGATGAACCACACCATCGGGCTACAAGGAATGGCTTGCAGCAGCTTGGCAATGCCACACACACTGTCATAGGCTACTCTCAGATCAATAAGAACTACACCAAACTTCTTTCCTTATACAAATGCATCTTCTGTATCTTGAGTCAGACAAAGTACCTAATCTCGAGTGCATCATCCTCTCCTGAACCCAGCCTGAACATGAGGCAGCTACAGATCAAATATCTCATTAATCCACATCAGGATTAGTCTCTCCATCAATTTGTAGGTAACACACAGCAAAGAAATCTGTTGGTAGCTCTTTGGAGCTGTCAATGGTTTCTCTGGCTTGGGAACAGTTACGACCTTCATGCTGCATTAGGCTTTTGGGATGCTACAATCCTGGGTACAGCGATTCACCAATTGAAGAAGCCAGCTTTTGGTGACTGGTCCAAGGTGAGAGAAACGTGGAGTGGATGTTACCTGGATCATGAGCCTTGTTAGGCTACAGCTGATATATAGCCAGGTCAAGGTCTTCATTAATAAAGGAGCCATCAGATGTAGACAAGGGACTTTAGCTGAAATACCATATTGAAGACAATACTCCTGGAACATTTTAGAGCTATGTGGCAGTTGTTTATAACTGCCTAGCCCTGTTGATGAAAAAAATGGGCATCAGCTAACACTGACAGCCCTACCAATACCACATGACTGCTGTCTAGATAGATTGAAAGGGAAGGAGTTTGCCTAACCAGAGAAAGGTTTTAGCTAATTATTCTACCGTTTTCTGTGTTGTCTTCTCATTTTCTTTATACATTTGTCTCTCACACAAAATTAATTGTTGTAACTGTGGTAAAGGGTTTTCATAAAGAGAAAATGACACCAAATTGGGGAAAGGTTAGCATTTGCTTCCTTTTTCCCTAAAATAGAGCAGCACATAATGGTCATTATCTGGAGGTTGGAGACCACCTAAGAATTTACATGCTGGAAAAGGGAGAGAACACAAAGCGGTAAAGCTAGTGGTGGGGGCAGCCAGTCCTCCATTTTCCTCTATCAGGCTAGAATAAGTAAAGACAGCTTCTCCAATGTAAGAGATCCAGTGACAGGGTGGATTTGATTTAAATCACTAGTCAGGAAGACTCAATTTAATCATGGATTTCTACATAAAAGTGCATTCTTGTTGGTTGATATAACCTTAATACACATTCTTCACAACTCAGAGATAGATGTAGGTTTCATTTTTAGAAAGCACACACTATACATATTTAAAGTGATTTATTTTGAAAACTTTTCAGATTAGTTTTACAGCTATATCAGAAAATGAATGATTGTTTGGTTATTTCATTTACCAAAGGTAATTGAAGCAGATATTTATGAAGTCATTGGGAGGTGAATTATCTCCAATTCAACAGGTTAATCATTAACATTTGGAGGATTTTCTTGCCATGCTGTATTAGGAGGAGAACATCACCAGACAGACATTTAAATTGTTTTATTTAACTAAAACAACAACGTTATGTATTCTGGATTTTTTCTTCAACGGGAAACATATAATATTTTAACAAAACAAGCATATGAATTTTTTATTTTAGTTAAACATTCAAGTTTTTTTAAATCAGGTTTGTTTTGT